CGCCTTAGTCCCTGTACCAGGATGTCAGGTCATCGCGGTAATTGGCGGGAGTCACTGTCACCGCCTTAGTCCCTGTACCAGGATGTCAGGTCATCGCGGTAATTGGCGGGAGTCACTGTCACCGCCACATTGGCATGCTGGTCTCGTGCTTTCAGGTTAACACGTTAATGAGCAGGAGCCACAGCCAACGGACTTTTAACGCACTGCTTCAGTGTCTGTTGGAGGCACATCCTGACCTAATTTAACTAGGCACCTTGACAGCAACCCCACAGCAAACACAACGTGGCCACGTAATCAGGCACCACGCCGAATACGCAGCGGAACGACAGAGGTGTGGAGGCGGCTGCCCCATGCAGGCTAGACTATCCCACTGGGAAGGCCAGGAAACGCAGAGTGACTGGCGTGGGGGGGCACAGCCAGCAGTTTGGGGTGAAAGCAGGTAAAACAAGCAGCCATTTCAAATGTCTAGACAGGAAGGAAGGTGACACCAGCCCATGAAAATGAGTATCGCTTACTGCGGTTTTTGGGAACAATATGAGCCTGGTTATACAGACACAATAGGGCGTGGATACACCTTAGCAGGGGGGGCAAAAGGCAGGAGGCACATTGGCTATCTATAAATCAGGATGTGTGGGTGCGACCACACCAGGGTACAAGGCCACAGGTCCCGGCTGCAAGTATCAGTGAGATACACAACTGCCTAAGTGGATTCAAATCGGTTATGGGCTAAACCTAATAATAATAATAATAGGCTTCACTCCTAGTACTGTAATATATATAGTGGTCACACTTTGCTTCAATATGACTTTATTGTAAGCCTGCACACAACATAGATGCGTTTTGGTGTAATACCTTCCTCGGAGTGCACACTGAGGAGGGCACTATACCCAAACGCATCACTAAGGAGGGCACTATGCCCAAATGCATCACTGAGGAGGGCACTATGCCCAAATGCATCACTGAGGAGGGCACTATGCCCAAACGCATCACTGAGGAGGGCACTATACCCAAACGCATCACTGAGGAGGGCACTATACCCAAACGCATCACTGAGGAGGGCACTATACCCAAACGCATCACTGAGGAGGGCACTATACC